TATATATATTTATATTCGTATTTAAATATATATATATATTTATTTATTTATATTCGCATTTATATATATATAAATATTTATATATATATATATTTTAAGTAGATAGTTTTTTTTGGAGGGTGCGGAATTTATGTTGGAATTATGTTGGATGTTGGCCACTAAAAAAAAATGGTAGTTGGACTATTTCGACCCCCCCCGGGGAGGTCGAAAATTGGTTCTTGGAATATGGTTTGGAGGGGTAGAAAGAATATGTTTGTTCAAAGTGGCGCATTCATTCCAAGATATCATATAATTATTTATATAAGAAAATTAGACTATATAGAATGTGCCGAAATTCAACTCCGGGACCTCTGAAAATCGGGGTATATAGATTATGTTTTCTTTTTAGGGAATCCAATCCGACGGATTCCGCCAAAACCCTGCACTCCCACCATGTTTTTTCCACTGCTACCGCAAAAATAGTTCAATTTCATCATTTTCTTTTTGCAATCTAGGCATATCTCGAAGGCATTCATGTCGGCTCCCACCGTTTTGCCACGGCATGCTGGGGAAAAAAAAAAGGTGCCTTTTTACCCCAAAAAAAATAAGAAATCAATCAGTTTGGGAAACGGGGAACCTGACCATTTTGAGTTTTCCGATAACAAGCCTTTTGAGACTTACAAAAATTATCCAGGACAGGTGTATTTTTATATTTTGAGTTTATCTTCCCTTTTTTTTGATGAAGAGCCTCTGGAAAATATTCTATGTATATGTCCTTGCAACCTAACAGCTTCAAGATTTCCTGACCTGATACTGCAAAATAGTGCTCACTTTCAGGTGCACGAATACGAATGCTTGGCAAATACCTGGCAATAATGCACAAATTATATTGTTTTCTTTTGCGTTATTTTCCACTTCTGAAGCTGCCCAGGGGGCTCCAGAAATACATTTCCATATTCTTTGTCTCACACGTGTGATAACGTCCATATTCTATATATTAATTCATACAAGGTATGAGCCAATCAATCCTGCAACGAAATCTTGGCATCTTATATCAAAAATATATTGGGGAGAACATCGCTCGTGGGGGGACCCCTTTGTGGCGAAAAAACAGGTTCCTTTTTATACAGAAAGTAGTAAGAAATCGATTAGTTTGGGGAATGGGGAACGTGACCATTTTTATTTTTCAGATAAAAAAAAAAAACTTTTGAGCCACACAAGAATTGTCCAGGACAATCGTATTTTCATGTTTTGGAGTTTGTTTTCCCCTTTTTTTGATTAAGAGCCTCTGGAAATATTCTTTGTATATGTCCTTGCAACCTAACAGCCTCAAGATTTCCTGTTCTAGTACTGCAAAGTACTACTTACTTTCAGGTGCACGAATGCGTTGTAAATAGCTAGCAATAGCATACAATTTGTTTTGTTTTCTTTCAATCAGCTTTGGCCCCCCTCAGAAATGCAACAAAAGAAGATTCCATATCGTGCTTTGCATTATTTCCATTTCTCAAGCTGCCCAGGAGGCTCCAGAAATATATTTTTCATATTCCATGCATCAATTCACACAAGGTATTCGTATGAGCCAATCCTGCAACGAAATATTGGCATTTTACACAGAGAATGCGTTGGGGAGAACATCACTCGTACGGGGACCCCTTTGTGACGAAAAAAACAGGTTCCTTTTTTCCCCAACAGCAGAATGCTTTGGGGTCTCAGCCCACATAGCCTTCGGGGTGCTCCGGGGCACTGCTCGACCCTGCCGCCTCGTTTCGCCGGTTCCGGGAACCAGGGTTCCGAGAACCGGTTCCGGGAACCAGGGTTCGGGGCAAGGTTCCGGGAACCCAGGGTTCCGGGAACCAGGGTTCGGGGCAAGGTTCCAGGAACCCAAGGTTCCGCAAACCAGACTTTCAAGCAAGGTTCTGGGAACAATGGGTTCTGGCTACCTTTTGGGTTCCGGGACGTCAAGGTTCCGGGAAGGTTCCGGGCACACTTGGCTTTCGACAAGGTTCCGGGAACCTTACCATGGTTTCGAGCAGCCAGAGCCTGGATTGTGCCAAAGTTCTGGAATCACCAGAACACCAATTTTGAGACATCCTGCAAACCCAGAGTTTGGGGAACCAGGATTCTGGCAAGGTTCCAGCAACACTGGGTTCCGACAAGGTTCCGAGAACCACCACAGATGCGGACCCACAGTTTGGATATACTTCCTGGATTATGCCACAGGTTCCGGACAGGGACAAGGTCAGAGTTCTGGCAAGGTTCCGAGGTTCGGGAAACAACCCAGGGGTCGGATATACGCCGTGGGTTGTACCAAGGTTCATGCTACGGACAGGGTCCCAGAAAACCAATTTGCAAGGAAACCAAGAATCCAGGACCAAAAGGGCCCGGTCAACGAGCAATCGCTGACAGGGGGGGGACAGCGTGACAATAAATCAGCGCGTCTCGGTTCCGGAAACCCAGGGTTCCAATATACGCTGTGGGTTGCGCCAAGGTTCCGGAAACGAGATTCCAGGAAGACAAGGTTCCAGGGACACAAGGTTCCAGGAACACAAGGGATTCCGGAAATCCCCCAGCCAATCTTGGGTGCTTTGTGGCCCCTCACTGAATTCCGAATTCATGTTCGTTTGCGCTGGGCGCACAGCGTCGGTCGACTGACCTGTTCTGATGTTGCTGTAAAATCTTCTGTTTGAACTGTTCCGATGTCGCATCTACCAAAGCACATGCCACATCAAGCAATTAAGTTCGATGCCTTGGAACACCTAAATATTGGCAGCAAACCTGTGTGAGGCTTCTCGAAGCCAGGTAGATGATTTTTTGAAGCTAAGTGACCAAACAGCAATACACAATGAAACTTCAGACACAGTTGTGACACAACAGCCAAGTATTGACATGAAACTAATTCTGGAATCATGATGGACAATTTGGCCAAAACCAACTGTTTCACCAATCACTTGCGCAAACTGACCGATGTTGTCCAAGCACGACAAGATAATCCCAAACCAACACACACACACAATTTTGTAAACACTTAATGACACACCGTGGTCTGCAAATACTGCCATTCGTTTGTAACCAAATGTATGTAAATTCAACTATGCGCGCTTTCTTAAAGAACATGTCTCATCCTGCCTTTGGTCCAAAAGGGGAGGGGG